ACAGTTTCATTTCTTATTACCAAATAAATATTGATTGATCGAGAAGTGTCATAAAGTATTATCGATAGCATCGTTTCGTTCCATATTATCAACTGAATACGCTGAGTTAAAATTGTTAAATTGTCTTCAATTCTTTGGGATATCATTTTGTTAAAATAGCAATGATAAAATTATCAATAAAGACCGTACACAGAAAAGTGTCAATGAAAATAATGAGGGTAAAAGAAAAAAAAAATGTCCGAATAGAAAAAAAAGACTATTTAAAAATAAAGAAATGAAATTGATGAAAATATCTGAGAAGAATAGTGGTAGTTGACAGTAGCAGTTAGATGGATATTACTAAAAAGAAAGGAGTTGGAGAATGATGAGAATTACGAAATAGTACATCGAATGTTGTATACATACGGCAAAGAAAAAGAGAAAATCATAGGATAAATTTATATTCATTTTGTAGGGCTTTGGTTGGTTCATATTTGGATTGTGACACTTTGCTTGGTTTTGGTTTGGTGTAGCTAATGAACGAATTCGCCTGTAATCTTTTTCAACATTTCTAATTTCAAAACTATCACAACATTCATAGTTTTTGAATTCAGAGATTTTTATTCCTTAAATCTTTGTATTTTTTTGTAGTTATCTCATTTTTAGTTCACTCGATGATATGTATTCGAATTTAGGATTAGAAGTGAACAAGTTCTAATAAAAAAAATGGATGATAATAGAAAGAGGACTAAATTATAGTACTTATGTATATGAAATCCTTTCCTCAAATATTTAGATGCATGAAAATTTAATTTTTAGTGTTATTATGATGTCGAAATCTGAAAATTCGGTATTTTCTGATGCTAATCAATTGTCTAAAAATAATACTGGAACATTCACAGGGCAACATGCAACACCCGATTTTCTCTTTGGTTCTCGTAACAGACGTCGAAGTTTAATTGCATCTTTTGGTATGGTTGTTTTTGTTTTTCTTTTAAAGTAATATTTCCCAGTTTATCGATAAAAATCTTATTCAAAATCTGCATTAATTGTATTCCAAAAATCTCTTTGTATTATGCAAAATCTAGCTTTGAAGACAAAAATTTCCTTTGAAGATAAAATGCTTTAAAGATAAAATCATGAGTTTTTAGTATTAGCTTGGAAGTTTTAATAATTTAACTTTATTGCAGATAGTGGTACTCCAGAGAATCGACCATTTGAACATGATATGCTTAGCGTAGCCTCGAGAAGTAATAGTAACTTTCAATTCAGTTTTTTACTTTTTTTGCTTTTACATGAATAATTACCGTCTTTGTTATTGGTTTAGTCTAAGTGGAGAATGATGTATTTTTACTTTTGAAGTAATTTAGACCACATTCAGACAAAATTTCGTCCGTGGCAGACGAAACTAAAATTAACATAATGATGTAAGTTGTAGGTTCTCAAAGCAGTAACAAAAGTGTCCATTGGTCACCAACATTGACACAAACGAGAAGTATTGCTTCCAGTGGCACATGTGAAGATTTTTCCATGGATACTGATCTGGATAATTCATCCTTAGGACCAGATATTTCAACTGGTACTTTTTTCTCATTTTTAGTTTTGTTTTTAACTCGAACTTCTTTAAAGGATACTAAATTATACTTTTTTGTAAGTTTCACCATTCTTACGATATTTTATGTATTTTGCCTTAATCCTTTTGTTCTTTTTTCTAAATCTTAGCCATGTAGTTTATATCTTTTTTCAGATCCTCCTCTTCGTTCTATGAGGGAAGAACTACTACTTCCGCAACAGATGTCCAAGGATTCAAATTCCACAACTACGAGTCTGTCAAGCCTTCAAACGTTGGACCTTCAAACGCAGTAAGTAGTTCGTTGTTCTTTATATGCGAATCAAATCATGATCAAATGATAATTAGAACCTAGCGATAATGACTTGCAAGCATTCAATGTTTATGCATTGGTTACTTTAGACAAGAAATTGCTGCACATTGGGTTACTGTGTTTGGTTTCTCTCGAGAAGATGCAGCATATATCCTTAAATTATTTGCACGACATGGCACAATTGTTACTCATCGGGTATTTTTAATTTTTGTTTGTTATTTTGTTGTCTTATTTTCAACATCATTTGTGTATTTTGATCTAATATAAAATATCATCATATAATTCTCGGTCTAGTTTCCTAAAGATGGTAATTGGATATTTCTACGTTATGCTTCTCCTGTTCACGCCCAGCAAGCTCTTTCTCGAAATGGTCAAATCATAGATGGTCGGTTGCGCCTAGGAGTAGTTCCAGTTGATAATAAAGTAAGAAATTTATCGTTCATTTTCAACTTTGGATCTTTGTTGCATATTGAATTTGGGCCTTTGACAAAGCCTTATCCCTTTCGTGCTCGTCTTGCTTTTAGACCAGTATAAAGTATTGTCATTATCACTATGCCAGGCTGTTTGCAGGAGGTGATGAATTTAGAGGATGACGATTACAACTCATTTTTACAAGCAGATAATGAAAATAGTGTCCTGTTCAACCGTAATAGTCGTAGCATGTCAACTTTGATGGAATATTCCTCTTTAAATGGAATTGGCCCGTTAGCTTCTCCAAATTCAGCCTCACATCCTCTAGATACAAGTTTTAATACTTCATTAATTGCGTCATCTGTCCGTCCAGGAATTCGTTCTCTACGTGCTTCTTTCAATGCAATAGATAATTATTACCGGGTAAGTTACTTTAAATTTTGTTTTTAAACTTGCTTTTAATTTTGTATTTTTACATCACTTGTCAAACATTTCTGCATGTTTATAGTCGAAACCTTCATTCTTTTGTGACTTCTCCCATGTAACTCTACTACCTAATCAACCCATCTTAAAGTTAGGCAATTTATCGGCTATTTTTATCCTCAAAAATAATTTTTGCTCATATTGTTTTGTTCTTTATTTGAATAGGAGAGAGTGCTATTATGGACTGAAACTTAGTGGAATTATTAAAGCATTTTGTCAAATGTGTATAACCAAATGTAAGCATGTTTTACAGGTTGACGAGGAAACGGAACCGACGAAGTCTTACGGGTTGTGGGATAAATTATGGAGTTTTGTTGCATAATGAGATAGCCAAGTATTACTAATGTGGTTCGCATTTGCATGTATGTCAGCAGCCGGTAAAAAAAAAAAAATTTGATCTGTCAAAAACATATTAGGTCTCTGAAAGATTTATAAATTGTTGAGAAAATGTTGACATTTAACCTTTTAATTTTATATTTTTGCAGTATGTGCATTCATATTATTGCATTTTTTTACATTTCTGTCGTATTTTTCTGATTTACACGATTTTTACTTTTTCTTTTGAAGATTTTTGAAGAAATGGTAAAATTTCAAAAAATTGTTTCTCCATTCATTTTTACTTCCTGCCATCTGTTTAATGACGATCAAATACTATATAGAACTATAAAAATGTTTACCTAAGAGGTATTTTGTTTAATTTCTCTGCCTTACCATATCTTAATAATCTGATACATAATTATACTGTAATAATCATTGTTGTCGAAGGCATCGAAAGGCGATCACAAGAGAACGGAGTCTTGTCTTACACATCTGATCTTTCATGCAGCAACAGTATATCATATTCAAAAGTTCACATTTTCGCAAATCAACTTTTTTTGTAGATGAAGAAAATTATTGAATCAAATATGTTTACATGCATTCGGAAGTGAAACAGTATGCAACATGACGCTTCAGTTCCTTGACAAATAGTTATATCTGCATTCGTGAAGTATGGGTGAAAAAAAATTGAGTTATAAAAATTGCAAATTTCTTGAAATGATTTTTAAAATCATTGAAGTCGGAAGTAATCAAATGCACGATATGTTACAGATAGGGTAGATGGATGCATCCTGATATTCCCTTGTGATTTGTATTTGTATGCAAAATTTTGGAATAAATTTGGATAGGGAGCAATGGATATAAATAGATTGACAACTACGGACAGTTTGTTAAAGGGTGGGCATGGTTTGAATCAGAATATTCCTTGTTCGCAATATGGAGAAAATATAAATGCTGATGCGGATATCAGTTTGTTACATTACAATTATTTATCTTGGATGGATCTTTTGCAATCTCTATTTTATTGCTTTAATGTTTTAATTTTCGAAAGAAGAAGGCTTGCATTAACAAATTGTATGTTAAGCGCATAAATAGTATATCTACGTGAGGCCATTTGTTTTTGATGTTATTCCACAGATGAAAGGAGGTAATGATTTCTTAAATTGGGTATTGTTTAATGATATCCATTTACCATGCATGTCCTTTCCTTTACTGGTTAAGTCAAATTTTCTACTGTCAATAATTCATTGCATTCAGAATTGCTATTATTTTTAATTGCTTGATTATAAGTAATGCGCTAGATATTTATTTAGCTATAATTTCAAATCTATAAAGTATAAGTGTTTCTGACTCATAAATTTTTTTCTAGTCATAAATTTGCAGTTGAAATTTATCTCAATAAATAACTAACTAACTATTATATGAAAATTTTCCTCGTTTATATGAGCCAAAAATTGCGGACAATTTCCTTACAGGAAACAATATAAGATATATTTATTAGTCGATTTAAATTCAATTATTTATTTGCTGAAAACATAAAGTAAATGTATTGCTAGAATGATTGTATCCTCACAAATATTTAATTTCATATGCTTCATTGCTTATCAATATTCCAAACAGGGAAGAAATGTGACAAAATTAAATCATCCTGTCTCATGAATATTAACGCCTTTCTCGATCATGTTTGCTGTGCCTGTTTTTGCCAGGCTATTAATAAGCCTCCTCTTCATTTACATAATTGTCTGGAATATCCCACTAGTTCTTATAATTTAATGATACGGCATTTCCTCAGATAAATGCAAACTCAATCCTTCTTGTTTTGCATATTTAGTGATTTATTGCTTTCATGAATTGCTCATTTCACTCTGCGTTTTCTCTTCCTTTCTTTTTTTTTTAAATTTTATCGACGAAAAGTTATGATATTTCTTATCAATGTTTTGAATATTTTAAAGAATCAACAAGAAGATATCACAAATTAGATTTTTAATTATTATAAGCTAAAGCTATTTTTATAATTTTATTTTCAAAAATAAAAATTTGATATATTAAAGCAAAATTGATTTATTAATTAGTATTTAAAACTCATTCTCTAAAATTACATATACTTCAACTTATACTTGAAGGCCCTCATCAAGTAATCATTTATGAAGAAAATTTAGAAATTTTATAAATGAAATGAAGGATGAATAAAAAATGATACTTTTAATAAAATCTTTTTTATGATCACTTAAATTAGTTGAGATTGTTTAGCAAAATTTGTTGGTTGATTAAATTTCCCTACAAAATTCAATTATTCATGTAAATATGATATTTTGAGGATATTTTTAGGAAAAATTATCAAATATTTCAGGAACAATTTCAACATCGGTTCCACCATTATGGCGAGCAATAATGAGGTGATAACAAAGAAATGTCGCATATGGAATCCCGCTTTGGATGATTGCCATAATGCAGCCAATAACAATGATAAGAGCAAGATTTCAGATAATTTGCAAAATAATCATGTTTCCCAGGTTGTTCAAAAACTATCCTTTCATCATTTATCATCTTGAATAGAAATTCGATTTCAGGTTTTATAATGACTCATTGATTAATCAGGAAAAAGATGCAAAAAATAAAAAAAAATTTGTACTTTTCTGTTTACACAAGATTCAATTTATATTTTGGGTTCGATTATTTGAGTTTTTTCAAAATTTTATTTATTTTAAAATTTACCACCATTTTCACTCAGGTATTCGGAATCGGTGGAATTCCTATTTTATGAATTGATGAGAGATAGAGAATAAATGAATGAACAGTATAATTAAAAATTAAATGGTGTAACATTAACATTAACAATAATATGTCTGCATTTCTTTTGGAATAAGATTGAATTTTTCTTAAAATGATGTTTAATAATAAAATTTGAATTCAAATAACTTAAATCAATGTCTAGTTCGTCCTTGTACAATTTAAAAATTAAATCAAAATGATGTATATAATTATATATTTGATTACAGAATTATGCAAGTTCGATGCAACCATATATAACTACTCTCATGAAATCATCGGATTATAAAAAGGGAATGCAATATCACAATACGGCAATGAGTTTTCGATTTAACATTATGCTATTACCGAGTAAATTGTCCATTTCTTCTTTCCTTAATTATTTCAATCATTCTTAATTTAAATAATAGGAAAAAAAATTCATTTATTTTTCAAATCAATAAAAAGTTTAATTTCATAGAAGATTACTTTTTCATAACATGACTTTGGAAAAAAAGCAAAAAGAAATAAATGATTGTTATAAATTTGAAAATATAACATATTAATTTTTTCATAATTTTTATTAATTGTATCAAAACTATATCTAATTTAAATCTGTAAACGGCTTTTTAAATCTAATGATTAAAACTATCTAATAATTAAAATCTATTTAATAAAAATTATCTAATGATTAAAACTATACCTAATTTAAATCAGTAAATGTATGATAAGGTTTTTTTTTTAATTTTACATAAAAATTCTAAGAATATAATTCACTATGCTTTAATAATGATTCCTAAACTATTAAATTGTACAGTTATGCTCTTTTTAGTACTTTATTTTCATTCTATTAAATTGTTTTTCAATTTATTATCAGTTAAAAAAAGATTAGATAGAATATAGAATGGATTTCAAATTTCGGGCAGTATTTCTAATTAATTTTCATTGCTAAAATATAGGAAGTATCGCCTACATTTTTGGGACAACTATTTTTTAATTAATTTTAATGACTGAAATATAAGATAGATTTCTGGTTGTATTTCAAATTTGATTAAGAATTTTGCTAATATTTTAGATTATTTGATGAATGCAATGTTGAATCCAAATTTCACATCACTTAATGTACCAAATCAAAATTGCTGTGCTGTATGCGGTAGCATATTTCGATTAACTGCTGATTTGGTGCAACATATGCGTATCAATCATCGAACCAAACATTATTCGCAACCACTAAAAAGAGTATCACCACGATAAATGATAATGCTTATCATATTGTCTGATTACATGCTAATTCTTTATTTTCATTTCATTCATTTCCATTCGATCATTTATCAGTATTGCGAATAAAATTATTTTCTGTTACATTAAAACGGCTAAAATCTAACATTTTTTACCGAATTTTTCCTTAAACTTTCATACTCAAATATTTGATATGTTACAATGATTCGAATCATATCATAATTCGATCTACTATTATCAGTGGATAAATTATCAGCGCAATTGTATACGACAAATGCAATTGAATTTTGTGATAAAGAAAATTCTGCTTTGAGACAAATATTGTTATTATTCGACGGACCGCATTAAATGCGAAATTTTAAAATACTGATTAATGGGATTGAAGTGGTCATTTGAATGTTTGAGTTGAAAGGGTCCATATATTTGTGGTTTTTTTTTCTGATAGGGATATTTAACGCGAGAAGAAGGGAGAGAAGGAAACATGAAATCTAATTCGTAATTTATTAATTCTTATCATGAAGTCATATTTCCGACGTGAAAATGTAATTTCGACGATAAACGTATTGTTAGTTATAAAGACAAGCGTAGTGTTAATCATGAATGCACGAGAAACTTGCCAATCATTTTCTTTCCTTTTCTTAGTCGTAACGCTGTGTATTATGTATTTGAGAATATCTTGCAGACTTTACATATCGATATGTCGATTCCGGAAGGTGATTACGAGAGAGGCAAGAAGTTATTTAAAATGCGATGCTTTCAGTGCCATGTTATTGATTCAGATGCGAATAAAAATGGTCCGACGCTGAAGGGTGTGATAGGACGTAAGTCGGGTACTGTCGATGGCTACCCATATTCTACTGCCAATAAGAATAAGGTTTCATTCTAACTATAATACAGCATACGTAACTTTAAGCAAATATATTTTGATAGCTAAAGTTGAATTGTTCATGTACAGACTGGTCACGTGATGTTTCAATGCGTGGCTGCTTAGAGTAGTGTTTTACTTATATGATTTGCCTTTCTTTTTAACCCAGGCCATTATTTTTTTTTTCTTATACTATCCTAGAAGGTTTACATAGTTTAAACTGAAAGTAGTTAGACGAGTGTCTTCTGTGAAATAAAGTTGAGATGGTGGAGTTTCCCATCAGCTTCCAACGTTTATTATTAGTGTAATATAGTTTCATTTATCTAGCTTATGTACGATGCATAAAATTCTAACTGTGGTCATTTTCTCGTCGAGAACCTAGGTGAAATCCATACCTATATTCTTTGATGTCCGACTGTAGTTCCGATTGACGGATACGGCATAATTTGTTACATTCATGAATCTAACTTCATAATTTCTCGGAAAAAAATTGATAGCCTCAAAATTTGTATTTCTTTTCCAATGTTTTAAACTCTCATAACGAAACTATTTAAACTTGTTCTACTCTTTTCCACTGTTATCGACATACCTAATATACCTATCCTTATCTTGCTTAACAGAAAATGGAATCTATTTCGGACAGAAAACACAAGATCTACTATAGTTTGTTATTCTTTCACCCCTCTCTTTATCATTTGTAGCATGTTATTTTTAAATCATGATTACAAAGGTTGATCTTCAACTCTTTGATAGTCAATATTTTATCTTCGTTATCTGGAATTGATCTTAATTTCGATTTTATATTCATCTTTGACGCATATATTTCAGGGCGTGGTTTGGACACGTGAAACATTATTCGAGTATTTATTAGACCCGAAAAAATATATTCCGGGAACGAAGATGGTATTTGCGGGCTTGAAGAAACCTCAAGAACGTGCTGATTTGATCAAATATATAGAAGAGGAATCTGCGAAATAATTAGGCAGTTTGATTTTCCAGTCATAGAATTCGGATTATCGTCTTTTCAACCATTGAGTGAATCTCATTATGTAACAGTAGCATTTTTTTTTAAAACTCTTACCAAAAATATGAGATTATTTTATACTGAAGTTTTGTGTTCTGTTATGGTATCCGTAGTCATTTGATTAAAGGAGAAAACAGTATAGTTCAAAAGCCATTATCTCTACTATGTGTATAGAGTTAGTTGAGGTGCCTTTTATTGCATTAACTCTTTTTTGGACAGTTAATATATTTTAAAGTATTAAGCCGTTTTTCATATTATTAAACCTTGTGGTACACTATACACGCAATAAACAGTTAAATTGAATTGCCTTTTTTTTATGTATTTTACACACCTTTTTTAATACATACATCAAGAACATTCTTAGGAGTTTTGTTGATTGGGATCTTCTCCACTTTTTGTGAACTGTTCTCCCATCATTTCAGCACTACGAAACATTGAATTACGAGAATGCACAACTATGTGTGATTTATGCATTATTCATTGCTCGCTCTTGATCTATATCTTATGGTGCTTTTTTGCGTTTTAAATTAGGCTTGAGAATATGGAAAAGTTCCCCACAAATTTTGTTGGGAGCTCGTAATGATAAAGATTGAAGTAACGTTTGAATAATGATCCCCTCTGCATCTTATTACGTTCATTTGTCTGCGTTGGAATTAACCCTTGAATAATTGCATGGAATCAATAAGGAGGAACTCCTGATACCATAAATATGTTGAAATAGAAAAAGAAACAATGAGTTGAGTGATCGAATAAAAGTTAAATGTGGTAAAGTCAACAACGTTGAAGTTATAGTGTATTAATAAATACACTCAAAGTGCAAATGATCCCTAACCTCTTCTGCTTATTCTGTTGTAAACATTAAAAAGAAAAAGTTTGTATTTTGTATTTTTTTTTTTCTCTCACATTTCTTCTTGCTTCTATAATGGTCATTTGTCTAATCCAGTGATGCACTGACCCTCAATTTTCGATACAATTATTCTACTAAAGTTACTGGATCTTATCTTCAACTTCTTCTGTAATGCTGCAAGGAATATAAAAACCTTTTCGCTCACGCAAATGTTTTTTTGATTCCAACTTTTTACATTTATTTATTCCATTCAGAACTTTAAGATGTACTGTTCAATTGGAATATTCTGAAAGGTTTAGCTATCAAAGGCTTTTAGACACGAGTGGTTAAAAAGTTTCATGCAAACTTCGTATTTTCACATCTTAATATTCGAGAATTTATCGCCGATTTATATTAATCATTGGTAATCGCTATTACATAGGTCATTAAATCTCGGTTGTATTTATATAATAGCAGCAGCAATAGGAGAGAATAGAGCTTACTAAAGTGGAAGCTCGATTTTACTATTAGGAATCAAAATATGAGACAGTTTGTATTTTCCCGAAATTAAATCCCCTGATGATCACGATGTAATATGCCTTATGAGATACTAAAGGAAAGGAATATGACCAAAAGTACATAGCTCCGTGGAAGAATTTAATTAATACTAATATTGAAGTTATATCTGATTACAGTTATCACTGCTGCTAATAACATCAATCGCTTAGTTGTATTAAGCGAGATGAATTTATTTTGATTAAGAACGCTATTTTTAAATTTAATCTGAACGATTTTCAAAAATTAGAAAAAAGCAAATTCATAATAATATATTTAAAAAAAAAAAACGAAATCATAATGATATTTTTTGAAAGATTTTCAAAAATTAGAAAAAAAGCAAATTCATAATAATATATTTGGAAAAAAAAACGAAATCACAATGATATAAATTAGGAGAAATAAAATCACAAAAACATTTTTTTTCTGAAAGGTTCTCAAAATTTGATAAAAATAAAATCACAATAATATAAAAACAGAAAAACAGAAAATGTTTTCTGACTTGATAAATTTCTAATTTCATATAGACTAAAATAGTTTTTTTCGACTAAATAATCCATAATGAAAAAAAAAAAAATGAAGAAAGAAAAAAACAACCGTTCAAATCAAATTCTGAAATTTATCATTTTTGTTGATACACATTTATTTCACAAATCTCAATCGATGGACTGTCACTGTCGCGTAACAAAATGATATGCAAATTAGCGGTAGCATTATATATTGCTTGTATGGACTGTTTCATTCCATTTATTTGTTTATTTCAATTTAGTGTGGTCGTTGCGAGTATGTTATGGAGAAGGCACTTCTAATCTTTAAAACTGACCATGAAGTGTTGTTGATATTTAATTGTATGTATGTATGTGTGTGTGTGTGTGTGTGTGTGTGTGTGTGTGTGTGTGTGTGTATGTGTATGTGTGTGTGCATGTGTGTGTGCATGTGTGTGTGCATGTGTGTATGTATGTGTGTGTGTGAGTGTGTGTGTGTGTATGTGTGTGAATGTATGTGTGTGTGTATGCGAATCGATAGTTAATTAGTATTAGTGTGATCAGATAGTGTGATTCTGTTGGAGATGGAAGAGATGTAGGAGAGGAAGAGGTGTTGACAAGTGAAAGATGAGAGAGAAATATGTCAGAGGTCAGAAGCTATGAAATTTCTCCTATTCCTACTTCATAAGATGACCTTTAACATATGTTTCATCTATGGGAGGCATTTTTCTATTTTCCTTAGACAAAATTGAAAGGATAGGAAGGAAATAAATCATAGTTGGAGAAAATGAAGTATAACCATATTGCATATCTGTTGTTAGGCAGCAGTAAATTGTTGTTTATTGCATGATCTAAGACATATTCGCTGTTGTTTTATGATCGATCATACATTGATCACAATTGGTAATAGTGATTGCAAAGATTTATTAACTGTTAGAGAATTTATATGTAGAAGTTGCACATTAATCAAAAATTTAAAATATTCAAATGAACACATAGTAGTTGAACAAACATTTCAAAGAAGAGAAAAGAATTGAGATGTATTAGCTTGGAATAGTTTTTATAGTAGTTGTCTCAATGATTCACTGATTTTTATTAAATAGCTTCTTAGGTTACCCTAATACATTTTTTTTTACATGGTAGTAAGAATTTTTTTGAAACACGTTCGTTTGCAGAGACAGGGAGTGTAGTGGTGTAGATGTCATCAAGACGTGGAGAATATGGTTACCGAGATGGGTCGGTACAGTTTCCACGACGTTCTGCCCGAGAGAGACAAACGATTTATATGAGTCTGGATGAGAATTTTCTCCTTGGTAATTCAACAGGGGATTCACTATTACGTTCTCTGGTCGACCGAGCTAATAGATCGCGGGATTCAGTATGTCCCAGTTTCCTTGTTTATTTATGGTGTAAGATTTCCATCATTGAGAGGATTTCAAAAAAAAGGACGTTTTAAGGCTAAATGGATGAGTGCCTTCCTTTCTCTCTCAAGCAAGATTCCACAAAAAATATCTAAAAGAAGCAGGATAGAAGGGTCTTTCTAGGAGTAAGAAGAGATGTTATACAAGAACCTGCGTAGGGAATATCATGAAAGAATTTCTTTCCTTGGAGAAATCCTGTAGAATAACTGTGTTTAGAATAATATGTCTGAGAAAAAACCTCTTGCATGTTTTTTTTTTTTTGGTGAATGAAGGAAAATGAGAAAGTGTGAAGTTACAAGTCGTGTTTCTATAAAGCTACATTGCGGTATGTGTGAAAGGTCGACAAGTTGTATTTTCACTTTGACGAGTGAGAAAATTAGCTGTTTTAAATATTAGCGATGCAAATCATGTATTTCAACGTTTTTAGATAAATAGTGCATACATGCTACCTCATTCGTTCCGCTATTCGACAAGATCAAAAGATAGGATCTACGTAGATTCGTACGGAGTTCCGATGAATAGACAAAGCGATGTTGATGATGATTCCGAAGACTTCAAGATCCGGAAGAAAACGAAGTATGTCACTTCCTTTTATAAATAGTGGTTGCGGTGAGTTAAGGAGCTACTAAGTACATGAGCTGTTTCCGAAAAGGTGATTTCGTCATAACTAATTCCTAATTAAGTTTTTGTAAGAAATCTGAATATGACAAACCCTATATTACAGGTCGAAACCATCATCTCCAGTAGACGAGGAGAACAATTCTCCGGCTTCAGATTCGACAGCTGAAGACGCACGTCCGGGATTGTCAAATTCGACGACCGAATCTTCCACTAAACAAGGAGTTGTAGAACCAAATATGTACGAGAGCGTAAAACAGCGACATCAGGCAAAAAAGCAGGCTACACTCGTCGCCCAAAAAAAGGCCAAAAATGCTGCGGCTTGCAAGTATGTTGAAATATATTTATTATGCTTTTAAAGTGACTTAAAGTCCCTGTTTTTTATCTTCAGATTATATTTACCAGTATATGAAAATATCTAACAGAAGGGAATTACGTCAATATTACAGTATCTATGAGTAAAATACAAAGTGATATTCATCGGCTTGGATGTATTTACATGGACGCTACGGTGCTTCCTAAATTTGTGTTGTCCAAATTCTCTGATTGCTTTCAGTTGTTTCTTAACAACATCGAGGAAAACATAACAGTGGATTTCATCGGATTTTTTCGTTCATTAGTTACGTTTCATTTACAGTTCACTTCGTAGGCGACAGCCTAAAAAGGAAGATTCAGAAGATGGTGAGGAAGATCGAAGGAATGGTGCTCCGGAAGTTAGTCAAAATCTCTTACTTTCATTATTTGATTTTTCATGTGTTGTACACGTGCGATTTTGAATCTTAATGTTTGCAAATGTCGGAATGCTGTTGAAATGTCTAGTCCAAAGCAGATATCTTTTCTGCATACAGCTTAAACGTATAGCATAGCACCATTTAAAAAATTTTCTAAATATGAAAAATAATGCATTTGCAGCTTCACTTAAGTAATGTGAGTTCTTAAATATCGTGGTATTCTTTCCCATAATTTAGAAGTTTTTTAAAATAGTTTTGAACGATGGAAGTTTTGCATATGAAAGAAATATAAAAGGACGGAAAACATAAATGATATTCAAAACAAAACATAATCTTATATCGGCTTCGACAGATTTTTTAATTACATTATATATAGGAAGATGATGAATCAGATGAAAATGTACCGCGACATTATGCACTAAGGACACATATCAATCCAGTAGCACGTTTTTGTATTGAACCTCGTTCTCAGTCTACACGTACATATACTTTTCGACGTGAACTGTTAAATAATGATTTAGGAGGATCAGGATCACGACGGGATATCCATCGGTATCACATTTCTGATGTTCATATGAGAAATACTAGCACAACAGATTTGCAACTGCAAATGTTTTGCTTCATTTCATGTTTCTGTTGTGCTAGTATTTTTGAAATTTCAAGAACTATATGAATTTTGTGTTCTTTATAGAAAACGGCTCACCGGTAGAAGCGATTCGGATTCGTCCTCTACTTCATCTAGCGGTACTATGCAAGCTAACAGGGATACTCGATTCGAATGCCACCGTCTTCGAAGAATGAATAAGGCTAGAGCTCAATTACGTCCAGTCAACAGTAAGTTTAGTTAAATAGTTGTTTATGTTCTTTCCGAACAAAACCTTTTTACCGCAGCCGAATTCTTAAGGCCAATATTTTTGCATTAGATATTGATTCCGTACACATGAATTGTAGCATCGACTTTAGCAGAATTGATAATTTGATTCTTCATGTACCATCTTTGAAAGAAATAATTTTCTTCCCGTGATTTTTTGTTTTATTGTCTTTACCATCCATCATTCGCCATTGCAAAAATTGTAGAGAAAAGAATGTTATAATAAAAACATCCTTTATATTGGAGACTTCTCTTTCAGACGATGATTTGTCGTATACAATTGGCGTGCGTGACTTGATCCGTCGCAAAGCTGGAACAGCTAATATTTCTGGATCAGATATTGATCCCATGCATATTGATCGCAGCATCGATTTTAGCAAAATTGGTGGTTTAGATTATCATATACAATCTTTGAAAGAAGTAGTTCTTTTCCCGTTGTTGTATGGTGAAATTTTTTCTCAGTTCAATATTCAGCCGCCGAAAGGAGTTCTTTTTTACGGGCCACCGGGTTTGTCTCTTTTCATTCGTTTTTCATGTAATTAAACTCCGGATGTTAATAATTATGTTTTAATACTTTGTGAAATGCGACATAATTTTGCAAATTGATGATTCTTTAAATTTAAAGGTGCACATTAAATTAGTCTTAAAAATTTTTACATGAGAATATCTCACTTTTCTCTTCGTTCGTACAATTATTTAAATCTTTATTGTTTTTAAAATGATCTTATAGTACATTTTCTTTAAGAAAACATCTCATATTAGCTTCTCAAAAATGAAATACTGTTATAGTAAACATTTTTAGGTACGGGAAAGACACTTGTAGCACGTGCGTTGGCCAATTCATGCAGCGAAGGTGATAAAAAAGTAGCATTTTTCATGCGCAAAGGAGCCGATATTTTGAGTAAATGGGTAGGCGAATCTGAAAGACAGTTAAGGTTGGCATTTAATTTGATTATTTCGTCGAAATAATCCTTCTGATTTTATATTGTGATTTTACTTTATGTTATAGTTTTTATTTTTATCCAATGCATTTGCACTGTAACATTAGTTTTCTTGTGTATTGAGTTTAAAAATGAAAGTGAAATAAAACTGTTTTCTGATGTAATGTTAATTAACTGATGGCTTTCTATTTTTAGAGTTCTTTTCGAACAGGCCTTCATAATGCGTCCTTCTATAATATTCTTTGATGAAATTGATGGTTTGGCCCCCGTTCGAAGTTCAAAACAAGATCAAATTCACAGTTCTATCGTTTCAACTTTGCTAGCACTTATGGATGGATTGGACAGTCGGTGCGAGGTACTTATTTTTTCTCTATATCTGATTGTTGATTTTTATACCTTATTCAATCTTTTGACGTATTTTTATCATATTTTAGGAAACGCCTTTTTTTAAGGTTGTTGTAATCGGAGCAACGAATAGGATTGATGCGATTGACCCTGCTTTAAGACGTCCCGGTCGATTTGATCGGGAATTGAGCTTTCGGTCTGTTTCTTCTTTGTTTTTGAATTCTTCAGGAAATTGAGAATTACTTAATTCCTCGACCTTTTTTGATGAAGTCAGTTCGCATTGATTTTTTTTAGTTTGCCTCATAAAAGTGCCAGATTGGAAATTTTAAAAATTCATACATCGTCTTGGGGCATTAATCGACCATCAGACAACATTTTTAAATGGCTTTCTGATCGCACGTCGGGATATTGTGGCGCCGATTTGAAGGTACGGTTAAGCGGAATAAGACTCACTTTTTATGCTTCAATCGTTCTTTGATGACTAAAAATCATAATTGATTGCTGACTTTAGTTTAGTTATATTCAGTAATCTAGTTTGTGCGTTTACATCATATAATTCAGTCACTTTGTACGGAAGCAATTCTTACTGCACTTCGATCTCAATTTCCTCAAATCTATTTATCCAAAGAAAAGGTCTACATTGATCCCAAAGCATTAAAAGTGGAAAAGAAACATTTCGATATTGCTATGCGACGCATTGTACCAGCTGGTCGAAGAGGTATGAATTTGTATCTTTTAATTTTTTTTTTGTTGATTATAACGATTAATTTATATTTGTGAAATGCTTCTTCGAAATTAAATCTAAAACAAAACACATTATAGGACAATTCCAATCATGGATTTTCAGATTTTACCATACCTTCGCGAATTTTGGACGACAGACTTAAGATATTATTAGAAGATGTGATTGCTTTAATATGTCGCCGCATTCCCAAAGGTTATCACGATATAGTCGACAACAGTCGAGAGTCGAGTGAGATCGAGCGAATCCTGAAAACAGTTTATTCAAGCCCTGCTGTACCATCTGGTAATTTTAGTTGCACTATTAATGAAAAAAGTGATGAGTATTCGTATTTATGGTGCAGATTGTCATGATTACAGTAATTAGCTTTTTGCTAAACTGGGAAATATATTGATTTACTTTTGTATTATAGATTTGATGATTATAGACTTGATTATAGACTATAGACTGGCTTGGATGATTATAGACTGACTATAGATGATTATAGACTTTTGCATTATAGACTTGATGGAATACCTGCAGTTGGACCAATATATATAACCCTTTTATAGTTTAGACTACAAGTAATTTGGCCATTTCAGTTTAGTTATAGATTATTTTTTGTAATAAGTCTGTCATTCTTCGGAAAATTGTTTCAGCTCGTTTACTGCTCTGTGGTTCCTCCAGTAATATAGGTCAAACGTCATATATCCTACCTGTTATCATAAATCATTTGGATCATCTTCCAGTATTTTCACTTTCAATGGCCAACCTCTTCTCTTACGGTTATTTTATTATTATTTCTTGAAGTCATATTTAGTTTTTTCTCATTGTGTTGAAGTCATATCTTATTTGTAGGGTCACCAGAAGAGCGTTTTTCTTATTGTGTACAATCTGCTATTCAAGCCTCATCAAGCGGGACACCCTGCTTATTGTTGATTCCTTCCATTGACAGATGGTATTCATCAGTACCTTCATCAGTTTGGAATCTGGTAATTTTTTTTTTTTTTTGTATATATATCCATTTATATTAATTAGTTGCTATAAAGCTTGTCAAAATCATAAAGTAACTGCTCTTGCTATGCACATTTTTCCAACGACTCCACTGCCAACGGATTATTTCAACAGGATCGAAACTGATTAGAATGATGTTTGCTTTTCAGCTCTTATCTGCACTCAGTTCATTCACGGGTTTCACTTCCATTCTTCTTCTTTCCACAGCAGAATGTAGCTATTCGAAACTTCCTGCCGCTGTACGTTCATTTCATGTTTTTCTCCTATAAAAGTTTTCGAACAGGAGTTGCACATTATACTATATCAGTTCATATAATGCAAAAAAATATCCATTTCAAAACGTAAGGCTTATGATTGACGAACTCAAACCCACTTCTTAATATTCATTTTTTAAATCACATTTATTTACATTATGATGAGACTTTATGCTGTTCTTATGTCATATGAAGATAGTGGTGAGCCATTACAGATTCAATTAGTTTTTCGTTCTCATGATTCAATGGAAATAACTGCACCTCCAACTGATCGACTTAAAGCTTATTTTTCGCATGTTATTGTCGAACCAGCTTGTACTCCACCCATAACATTTAACGGTAACTTTTCGTTCTTAAAATCTTCAATAACTTCTATGTTTTGAGCATGTTCAAAAATTAGACTTATGTTTCGTATTTCTTTGTTGAATTATAACTCAGGTCCATCGAATTTTCAGTTAGTAGTACACATAAGAGATAAATGTTTATGATGAGTAGAATGATTGAGATACTAAAAAATTCATCTTGTTAGCTGTATTTAGTTGATAAATACCCTACGCTTCCAAAAGCCGATGTAGTACAGCCGTCAAGCCGTCTCAACGATGATGAGATTAAAGAGCTGAAGAAGCTTTATGATCAATATCATTTGGAAATTACTCTTCATTACGAAGAAACAATTGGTTAGTTGCAACTTCTTCCCTCTAAGTTATAAAGCTAGATTATTTGCCTGTTCGGTTTTTCTTTTATAACTTTCTGTTTTTCTTTTTTGCACTATAAGTATTTATTATTTCTTTTTCCAGCTCGTTTAATCCGTGATCGTCGGTTCAATGCATTCGTACAACCAGTAGATCCTGTAGATGTGCCCGATTATTATACACACATTAAAAATCCTATGGATCTTGGTACTATGTTTTCAAAAGCATCAAGCTATAAAACGCCCGATGAGTTTCTCAACGATTTCCGATTGATTCATCAAAATGCAGTAGAATATAATCCAGTAACTGATTGTGAAGGTTGTGCATATTACTTTTTTAATCATTAATTTTTTTGATTTTTTTTTTTGATTCTGAAGATATAAAAATGGAATAAAAATTACGTTCTTCTCATTATAAGCTGTAAACAGTTTCTCATTTTCTTCATAAACCACTTTTTATTTGAAATGCTTAAATATGGTATAGAAATGTTTAAAATTTATACACGCAACATTTTAGGACGTCAGATTCGCATGATGGCAAAAGTGTTGTTGGATATGGGTCAGCGGGCAGTTCTGGAATTGGATTCCAAGTTCCTGAAACGTCTAGAGGTAAAGAAAATACAGTACCCTGAAGACCTAGACATGCTTGAATTCGAATAAGACCACGTGATATTAGAACAAGAAAACGGAAGAACGGAAAAACAGAGTTGGCATCCTGGGAATCCAGACTTTGTAACAATTTTGAGGCAGAGAGATAATGGGAACGTTTTTAAATAACCTAATTTGACATTTTAGGATGTGAAACGGATGTTGAAAGAAAATGGCATCAAGGTGGATGATGAAAGTGTTGAGGGCGATCATGGAAAACAACTCAATGGACATGTGGCGAAGAATAATGAAGTCCATGTGAAGAACGGTCAATTAAAAGACGATGTGCCAGAAGTCATTATTTCTTGAAATATTTGCACCATACTAGAGAAATCTAAATGTTAAAAACATTAAATAACTGTAAAATAATTTTCTAAAATATTTGAACAAACTGTATGTTATAGAGGCAAAGTTACATATTGAAACAATGAATTTAATTTCTGTTTTTTCTGCAGGAACTGAAAAAACCCGGCATCAAGCGACGTGGATTGCAGACTTCCAAATTGTCTCGGAAACGACGTTGCATGAAGAAATCACTTAAAAAATACCGTGCAAGCCACCTCAATTTGAAGTTGGTATTTGTTGTTAGGAAATTTTGTTTTATTAAAGGAATCGAATTAACAGAGTACTTGTATTTATGCTTTCTGTTTTGTTGTTTGTTGATTTCTATTTCAAAATTCTGTTTCAAAGCATTTAATTGACTGATTTGACAAAATTATATTTCTTATTTTTTAATTGATAGTTCGACTTTTTGTGAAAAGAAAGTTTTTGGTAATCTGTATATTCTTCAGCAGTCAGATCGAAGGTATTGATGTGTTAAGTGAAGATAGTGTGCTGAGTGAAGGTGACCAACCTATAACAGATGATGATAAGGATTTTGAGAATCGACGGCGTATGGACACAGTTAGTATTGATTTTATCCAAATTTAATAAATTGTGGCATTATTTTATTCTAATCCACTTTAATCTTCTATGATCATTCCTGCTTTTTAATCTCGCATCTTTATACGATGGATTTATCGTTAATATAAATCTTTATTAATTATGAAAGTCAATTTTAAGTGTAGTCACATAACAGTAGAATTCGATAAATTTCTGTGACTGATACAAAGGAAGCGAATACTTTGAGAGTGTTAAATTGATTTGAAGTGGTGTTTAGCACTAAAATGACAGAAAATGTATAATATCATATCTTTGTATAAGCACTGCTATATTTTAAAATGGAATGAGTTGTTCCAAAAAATATTTCATTTCAGAGTAACTCAAGTTCAAACCGTGAAACGGATAACATTAAAGAAGGTAGAAATCTTAAAATCGATCTCAATAAACTCAATGCAGTAGTTCATGCGGTAAGTTTGCAATAAATAAAAGTAGTCGAGTATATGTTTTGTGGAAAAAAAAATGTTTGCAAAAATATTGATCATTCTTCTTTATAGGAGATCGGCATAGTTAATGCAAATTTTCATATCTGTACACTATTAAATTCATCTATCATCAATTTCAGGCCGTAGAAAAAAGTCGCAATTGGCCGTTGGTGGATTTGGAACTTTTTGCTGCCAGGATTTCGGAGATTATTGAGATATTCCGTGACAAATGGGATCGTACACAATTGCCTTGTGAAATCGAGAGAATGATCCTTAACTGGAAGTGTTCGAATTAGCTCGTTTTGCAATTTGTTTTTAATGAGTTGTAAAATACAACCAAGTTATCTAAGTACGCTTATCCATTTGGATAAGCGACTTAGATAACTTGGTTTAGCTAAAATTTTTGTGAGAGTAGCAAACTGCAAACGTTTTTCTTCAACCTCAGTGTGTGTGCGTTCATTCTTGTGGATATGTCTGTGCAGATATTTCTTCTTACTGGTCCCTTAACTACTTCTTTCATATGAAATAGAAGATTTCGGTCTTAATTATGGGATTAAAAAAATGAAACTTATATCCACTCTGCAATCTTTTGTTTGAACGAAACTCAGATTATTGCAAAAAAAAGTCGTTCTGACAATGCCAAATGATGCACTAAAGATAGTAGTTTTGTCGGCAAATCTTTAACAATTCTCAAAAAATTTGAGAAATTTATTTTCATAAAAAAAGTGTATTCGCTTCGAAAACTTTATTTTTTCTGGTCTCCGTTTTCTTTTTCGTTACCTTTTTCTGGTGAACATTTATTCGGTTATTTTGTTTTCTTTTTTTTTCATTCAAGTTTGATTCAGACAGCAGAACGGTTGCTTTTTTGATTTGTACCACGCATTGCAGCGTTTTAACCGGAACAAATGAATTCTGAACCGGTGTCTCATTAATTCTACTTGTTAAATTGAAATTTCTAGATAATTGATAAATTCAGTAACGGAGGAGCATGAATTTGGATTGAGCTTTTATTTCTAAAATGTGAAAATTAAATCCAGCTTTTTTTGAGCTTTTTTTTTATTTCTAAAATGTGAAAAAATTCGATAGATAATTTCTTAAAACACATGAACACTCTTTCAGAATGTTAGGTGCGGAATATTACGACCAATTTAGGGTGATTTTTTCTAAAGAGACTGTTGTGTACTGGTAATTCTATGCGATCAGAATAATGGCTCAGATTTTCAATTATGTCCTTTAGCAGCATTTATCAACAGCTTCATCATCCTCATTGTATATTTTGTACTGTGTTATCGCTCTTCAAAGTTCTTTCAATATCACACTGCCGCTGTTTTATATGACGAGGCGTGAAACTTTCTCATTCGGAGAAACGGTGTATCGAAACTGGCGAAGTCTCAAAATTCAATATTGTTATTACCATTCACTTTTTGTAAAATATATCAAAATTTGAATTTCTCATTTTTCGTTTTGTATGTTATTGCAGAATCTCCCCTCCTCCTCCCCCTCCTCGCCCTTCTCCTCCCCCCTCACCTTTATTATAATGTCAATGTCTTATAAATTATATCTTATAGTTGAGATATCTGTTTGACTTTCTATTCATATTGTTATCTGTGGATTTTAGATTTGCCCTGTCCAACTTCTGTAACTTCAGGAGTCTAAGAGGGAAGACCTCGAACTTGCTTTAAATTTGGATTAATTTCAAAATGGTATACTTGCCTTCTCGTCGAACACTGTCCATTATGATTGCATTGTATTCCATTTACTGCCCAAATTATTCCTACCTCTTTATTTCACCGTAACTCCTTTCTTATCCATACAACTGCCATGTTTGGTGTGCTTATTATCGTATACAGAGCTAGCTTTCAGAAGTGAAATAGTACATTTTCTTCCTCATTTTTTTCTCACACATTGTAATGAAAAGTTCTGCCCTAGGCTGCTAATCTTATCGAGTTGTATGATACAGTTGTATCTTCCGCATTAAATTCGGTCTTTTTTTTTTGTTTACCCACATCATAGAATATTCAGAAAAAAAGTATTAGAATTATAATCCAAGATTAGGTAGGCAAAGCATACGCCTACAACCCACATGAGCAAATGAAAGCGCAATTTGAGCCGTATACAATACAAAATTACCGATTAAGAAAATCAACAACACCTCCACAAAAACGTTCGTAATGAAATATTGAGTTTGCTTTTCGAAACTATTCTGAACTGGTCTACGGAATAATTGTTTGGGATTACCACTTTTCTGCGTGTGGTCCTATCTTATTCTCAATACTGGTCATAAGCTTTAGGAAGTATAAGTTATTGAATGGCATCTCATGAGATGAAAACCTAATAGAAATCGCAACACCACAAATATAGCAAGCAATTGCCCATATTAATGGCAAACTGAATCGAGTCGGAAATGGTTTCAATATCCGTATCAGGAATTAAGGGTAGCTTATCGGGATAGATTAAATAATTAAACAGGTGGAATAGCCAATTGATATAACAATCAAAACTTATCGGAATAAAAATTATCTAACATATAACAATGCGCTAAATTACATGAAATATTGAGCGATCAAATAAATTCAGCATGAACGAAACTCAGATGAAAATATCGCTATCAGAATCATCACCAAAAATATCCACTCTTTTCGCTTTCGAAGCATTTATTTTTTTTCCCGGGACAACTGTTTCCTTTTTTTCGAGAACTGACCCATTCTTTTTTGGAATGATTGCCTCTTGAATTACCTTTGTCAAAGTAGCTTCTTTATCTCTAGCAGACTCCTGTTCCTGTTTTTTTACCGAAATAGAGCTAGCAAAAAGATCATTATCTGAATCAAACAAATTCTTCAACTTGCAATCAGTTTTAGCAGTTTGTGATCGGCTTACTGATGTGATTAAAGAACGTTCCCCAGAGGATGGCAGTGACTGTACACCATTGTTTCCAGTGTGTAACTTCGAAACAAATGCATTAGTTTCAGACCTACTGGAAAAAGTAGAAAAAATGTCATCATCGGAATCAGAAGAAAATATGGAATTAATGTCGTTTCTCTGCTTCAAACTGTTTACATTCACAGTAGTACGCTTCTCGAGATCGATTTTCAGCTGACCATCTTGTCGCTCCTTATACATCTCAGCTATTTCTCCAATAGTTCGATTATCTTCCGCACTTGCAGTTGCAATGGAAGAATGAACCGATCTCACTTCATCCTTATTACTGTTTTTGCCAGAATTCTCCAATAAATGTGATGGTGAACGTCGAGGCGGTCCTTTGGCCCGCAGCTGAAAACAATCATGAATTTATAGCAGTTATCAACAAGTTACTCCAACAAAGCAATTCTAGCTCCATTATACCTTTGCAAGGAAAGGTAAAACAGCGTTGGTTCCATCATCCTTTATCTTTTCTCCTACAATTTCTTTCTCTTGACGTTTTCCCAAACCACTGATCGCATCTGACATAATTTTACTTGAGAGTATACTATCTAATTTATTCCGAAATGTATCCGAAGTCTGCTCGTTGTTTGCAAAGATATAATCCGTAGCTTCCAAAGAATTTTTCTGAAAACATACATTATAAAACATTAAACATTCATTATTCATTTGACATTTCTTTTGATGATGGCTTTTCCGTTAACCGCTACTACATTTTCGATATATGGGACGTATTAGATTAAAACAAATCAAAAAAATGCAATTGCATCAACACTCTAATTTTGCTAATCTGTCACAGTTTCAGTTAAACGCAATTGCTCACTGGTTTCAACACATCAGCAAACACATCTGAACTGCGCACATTCATATCCGTTTGTAAGTCAGTTTTCTCCTTCTCAGCGGTTGAAATGATTTGAGAATCATTTGAATAAGTAGAAATATGTTGCTTTGTTTCCACAATCTATAAAATTCAGAAAATATCAAATTCGCATGTATCATTTTGCATCTCTAAGAAACTTTTGTCGTTTTATTACAAAAATAACGAACCGTATTTTTTAGGTCACTGAAAAGGTCATCTTCGTCGGAGCTGCTGTCGATAAACAAATTACCCATAGCGTTTGATGCGCCCTCCAAAAAAAAAAAAAGATTTTGTAGAAGATGCCGATGTTACCTTCAGCTACTAGTACGTCAGTCCAGAAAGATATACATAAAATATCCTTAGATGTGAGCGTAACCATACAAAGTTTTCTCTTATCATCATATAAATAAAGAAATAAATGTTTCATGCAAGAATATACTTCATTGGTTTTTCCCTTTGCTTGATTTTCTATTGTATCAGTAATCGATACTCTTTTAACTGGTATTTCCGATTTCGGAAGCCTCGTAGATACTTCCATATCCGGAGGCCTACGGGATACTTCGGAGCCAGAATGCCCCACTGACACTTCAGGATTTCGCGTTACTACAGGCAGTTCAGGATCTGAAGTGCAAAATTAGACAAGTATGAGCTCCTTGAAGTGTAAAAAACTACAGAAATATTGAAAGAAATTAGGTCAAACAAAACATACACCGCCGTGATACTCTATTTCTTGACAAATCAGATGTGAAGTCTGCTGTATTTTCAACTTCTTTTTCTTTCAGCAAAGAATTCTGCGAACTTGATGTAGCAATCACTTCCTGAATAAATTAAAAGACTCTTCGTTATCGACTAAAACAAGCCTTTAATCTTTCAATTCGACAATATAGTTACTTGATTACAGATTCTAAAACAAATTCTGAAACAAATTAAATACTTGTGGTGTATAAGTTTCGCTCCTATATTCATTTGAACAGCTAGCAATTTTTGCTTCAACACCATTGATATTTGATGTAGCTTGATTCGATGTCATATATGCAAACTTTCCATCTCTACAGAAATCATTTAAATAAAGCATAAAATTTACATGAATAGAAAAACAACCCTCAAATTAAAGTGATACTGATACTATTTATAGGTTAAATAACAGAAAAGGCATATAGTAATGAGTTAAAAAAGTTAATTAAAATTGGTAAACCCTATTACGAAAAAAATATAACACAAACTATCTTCCGGTCAAATTACTTACAATGTATTCGTATAAGATAAACCTCTACACTCCGCCATTTTCGGTTGGATAAAAGGTGGCAAACTGATAACAACCTCTTCAGTAACCTTAAATTTGATATTTCACATAAATTGCGTATCTTGAAAAAAATGAAAATGCATGTTCGTTTCAAAGAATATCATACCGTACTAAACAAATCAGACATTAATGTGATAAGCTGGAAGTTACCAAAGTGTTACCTAATATAAAAAATTATACACAAGTTGGAACCTTCGCTATTTCAGCACATTCTTCTGAAGAACTTGCATAAGGTGAAGATTTCCACTCTGAACTGCCAATCAGGAACGGTAAGGGTCGCGAAAGATTTTCATCCTGAAAGAAAAAGAGAAAGAATTTGCTGAGTATATAAATATCAATGCATCTTTTTCTGATTCCAGCAAATTCCTATCAAATATCACAGGAAAATTAATTAAAAAAAGGTAAATTTCCAACCAAAAAAAAGAACAAATTTCCAAACTCATCAGAGATCATCAGGAAATGGAACAAAGAAAAGAAATAGTGACATAATACAAAATTCCGTTCTAATAGAAAAGCGAAGAATGTACATATGGTTCGAAGACTGGTGCAGGTATGCAAATTGGATCGTCATCTTCATCTAAATCCTCGGGACGTATATCGATTCGTTTGAAATGTGTTCGCATCAACTCTAATCCCATTGAGACTGCCTGACGCAAGTTATCAGTTTTTTCCGTTTGCTTATTTTGGATCACCTGAATTTGTGGATAAATGGAAAAATTTACTATCGGAAATTAGATATACATTTCAAGATAACAAAAAATGTATTAAAATCTAACCTCTTGGGAAGTCGGAGTTGGATCAACGCATACTGATACGTCATCTGCCACACGCTGAAACATCATAAGCAACAGTGATATGTTTTGAACTTTTAACGATGGATAAATTTAATGATGGATAAATCACATGCTTTTTTTTAGCACATTGCCCAGTCTACATTCAAAAGAATACTCTAAAAGGATTGAGAGCAAACCTTCCGATCTTTCTTGCCACATGCATAGATGATAAAAATACAAGAAAAAAAAATCCTGCTTTGAGTGAAAAATCTTGCATTTCCAGAAAAGAAATGAAAGCCAAGTTTAAATTTGTAAAGGGAAAATAGATAGATGCAAATATGAATAAACCAACGCTTTCAATAAATTGATCTGCTGCAAATAAGGACAATCGATTGTTGAGATTCGAAACTTGTACACATGCATTGGTGATCTTCAAAGAATTTTCTTGGATTGCATCCGAAATATTATTGATCTTTATGGTTAACGAAGATTTGATTTCCTCCAACACACTACAAAGCTGAAGAAAAAACAAATATAATCGGAAAAATATTCCTTTACATATAAATAACAATTTATACTCCAAATTGTGCGCAAGACTTCTTTAATAAGTAATTTCACAATAAAATATTACTTATCCAATAAAATGAACAAAAGTTTGAGTTATTCAGGTAAAAAACACCGACTCATAAAAAGTGCAACTAACAAAAGGAACAAGATCTGCCTTTTTTTGTGTAAATCATATCGTTTGATTCATCTTGAAAATTAATCGAAAAAAATTGCGCCTTACTTGTCGATCTTCTGCTAGCGACCAATTATTTTTTCTATCTCGTAGTGCTTGCAAATTACGAGGCAACATCTCTTTACCAATTCACGCTGAATAATTTCTTTTAAGCCGTTTGAAGCATATTCCAAAATCAGTCATGTAAATCAGCTCGTAGTGTTACAGTAATGCTGAATCCTGGAAATCTTGAATAACTTTTTCCATTTCATATGAATGTCTTATCAAATTATCGGAATTTAATGCGCTTTTGACTTTAATTTTGAAATTTTGCATTCACATATGCTGGTCAAATTAATACAGATTTTCGACAATCCGGAAATCCGGATAAAATCGTTGCAAACATTCGTAAGATTCTAAATCAATCCAAGAAACCAAACAGTAATCGGAAACTCCACCGTTACATTTACTCACCTCTTTTCCCTTCACACACAAAACCCTACCACAAAATACTTTTAGCATTCTGTTCCCACGCCGGTATGACAAACGGCTTGGAAACGACTAGCCAAAAATTGACAATTAATCTGTAAAAAATACTGGTTAAAAACATTATAATTTGTTTATTGGTTAAATTTGTCTAGAATGATAGCGTAAATTTTGGATATTGCATAGCTTGAGTAGCTTCATCAATATTGAATTGCTTCCCAGATTTTTACAGCGTTATTATTATTTTCAAAACAGGATTCCCGAACTCAATAAATCATTCCCTAAATCAAATGTTAGAATATGAGAAAAATAGCAGTTAGCTTTGATTATTTCTCTTTGCATTTCTTACAACAATACGCTGTTTATTCCTTTTTACAGTTATTCCACTCATTATAGTATTTGACAAACTTTCTCGATCGGTTAATTTTTGTTCCTCATAATTTGTACCGATTTTTGCTGTCTGTTATTTTATTTCAACATTCCATTACCAGCATAATTATATAATTACACCACACAACTATTTAAGTAATTTTTTGTTAAATGATTATATTCTGTCTTGCATTTCTTTTTGAACTCTGCTTTTTTCGCATTCACTGTTCCAAATTCTATTACTTTAAACCTGCATTTCATAGAATGTAAAATTTCGTTAGAATTTTTTTCACAAACATCCGATTTTATCGTTTATAACTTCATCGAAAACCGTAATAATCACAGAGAGGATAATTATGGACAGAATAACTGTCTACAAGGTATGCTTCTAAATATGTGATTTCTCATACTGCATTCATCTTGGAATCATTTATAATCAAAAATGATTATAAATGTACTCATTTATATTTAATCATTTGTAATCATTTATATTTTTTTATATAATCATTTATATTTTCTCACAAATACAATCATTTTTTAATGTAATCATTTATATTGTTTATAATCATTTATAATTGGAATCATTTATAATCAAAGATATACCCACAAATTATAATGACTGCCAAGTCCCATTCCGCTGCCTGTTATACCAAACTCGATTTTACTTTTCCTGTCTCTTTATATTTGCTTATACAGTTCCTTCACTTGTTATGAAAGTAAGCGTTTTTTTGGAATGTTCAAAACGAAAGGTTTTTCCTGATCGTCAGTTATATACACGGCTAAATTATATGAATTCTGATTTGGGACGATTACCTTAATTCCAACTTCATCCACAATTTAAATTTAATCGACTATTCCTGAATCATTTCTCATAGAGTGTAACAGCAATAAATATTATTCGTTGTAGTAACTATTAATTTATAATAGTGTTCATTATTCACAAAATAAAATGAGATAAAATACAAAATATATCCGTAATTAACCATCTCCCGTATGCACATTACTAAGACATAAAGATCGAGGCTAATTATAATATTTATCACCTACTTTTCCCATACCTTTTCGATCTCTTTCATTACCGACAAACATTTTTCTTCTCTCAACGGTAAACCAACTACTTGCACAGCCAAAGGTAAACCTGCTGAATCACGAGCTGCATTTCTTAACATTTTCAGTGCGAAGTCGATACCTGCAAATTTCCTTTTAAAATTTGATTCAAAAAATCTGAGGAAATAATTGTTGAAGAAACTGACTGTCAATTGTGGATGAAAGCAATACATGAACACTACCTGTATGCCAGAAATTTTCATTATCTAATAATTTATCATCTTCCGAGTTTACTCTTCCTGTAGGTACAATTCCAGCTGGAAAATCCAACAAGTTGAACAGACCGGTCGCAAAAGCGCAAACTCCAAGACGGCTTGGATAGGCATGCGGCACAGCTGGAACTGCAAAGTAAGAGAATTTATTTCGTTCAAAACTTCAATAGCTTTTTAAAATAGCTGTGCAGATATCACTAGAGATATTTTACTAATAAAGAAGTACTACCTGTAAATGCTGGACATATAAGTGCATCCAGCTCGAGTGTTTTCCATTGCTGTATAAACTGCAAAATGAAATATAAAGAATTCCTGAAATGACTTCTTTGTTCGATACAAAATAAAACTTTTGAACATCTTATGAGTTGTTTAGTATGTTCGAACTATCCCTCAATCCTTATTTTCAAAGATGTTGTTTATGCTTCCGCAAGAATGTCTAATTTTCATTGTCCTCACTCTTTTTGTTTCCATTGTAATATCAACCCTACACTGCTACACACCATAAAAATGTAATTTACTTTGAAGAAATGGAGAAAAAAAATACCTTTTCTTTGTATTGATCAGTCATTTTTTGTGTCGTTCGTAGGTCTACAAGGTTTTTAATATATGAACCGGCGACTATCGATAATGGCGTACTAATGAATGACAGAAAGTAACTAATAATATTGCACACAGAAAACGGTAACTACAAAAAAGGTTCGATTGCGTAACATCTAAAATGTGAGTATTTAAGGCAAATGCTTGCGTTTGGCTTTAGGCAAGCAATGTAAATCAAATAGGAAGTTATTTGTAATAGTATATCAATAACCACAATTTCTTCCTAAAACTTATGGCGTAATTTTACCCTTTGTTTACTTGAATGTTGGGATGTAATTTTATCCTTTGTTTACTTGTAACATACGAAAATTCTCAGAGTATTTAAAATTGAAGTAAAAGAAAAAAAGAGCAAACCTTAAGCAGAAAGATAAAAGTACGAAGAAGGGGGGGGATTACTTCATTTGCATATACTTTTATTAATTGATCTCTACCATATGGCATAAGACCACGATAAAATAGTGAAGCAGCATTTTTCGGATCAGGCAAATGAAAAAGCACCATTTCATGTCCAATTGCTTTCAATTTCTCGACCGTTTGCGCAACAGCTCTTGAACACCTGAAAAAGCAAATGATGCATTCCCTATTTCAATGCCGAAATTTTCCAACAAATTCTGGCTATATCGTCACGAAATAAAAGTTTAATTTCCAAATGATTAATTTCAGAATGCGTTTTGACTTACAAGTATTTTTCAAAATGTTAAAGGCTGTTGAAAAGTAACTTACGCTGGAACAGGCTTCATAAAACCATCGTCAACATAATAACCAATACGAAGATGCGGAACAAAAATCTTGCGTTCATCGAGAGGAAGAAATGGCTGATGTGGAACCATTTCGTAATATTCTGCTGATCCTAGCACGATTTTAAGCAAGAAAATTTGTTCAGCGACAGTTTTTGTGAAGAAACCATAACCCAATGATAAACGACTCCTACCGCTAATCCCGCTTAGCACATATTTCACTCTTAAACGTTCTAAACAGAAAGATAAAAAATTTCTCGAAATTATCTGCAAATTTTTCTACTACAGATATAGTAAAAATAGTATGGATTAGTACAAGCAAAATAATGGAACCTTCTGTTAGCTTTAAGGTAGTAACACCGCAAAAACATGCTGGAATCCTTAAACTACCAGCTAAATCACCTCCCATCCCAAACGTACTTCCACCAGAGATAAATAATGCACATTCCCCTCCGGATGAGCCTCCCGGTGTTCTGAAATGAAAATGTTTAAAACGTAGAAATTAAAAAACTTCACTAAAGCGATGGAAAAAAAAACCAAATGCTACGTTACTTGAAACCAATAACCAAAAATTGGCTATGAAAAACTGAAGTCATCCAAAAAAGTCTACAAAACTTCCCATTCAGTCTTACAGTGTGATTCTATTTTCACTGGTAATAATTTTCTGTCGGGAATTATAGTCCTAATTATAAGCTATATGTGTTAAGTAAAATCTCGTCATGGCATCCAATGTTCAATCAGTGTGATTAATTTGGATAAAATAACTTCTAGTTATCTACTTCTTATATAGAGATAAAATAACTTCTAGTTATCTACTTTACCGTTTTTGAAATTTAAAATAATAAAATAGTAAAAGCTTTCTATTTTATTGACACTCAGTGTAACTTTTGTTAGTTATCTGAAATAACTTATGTTTCTGTACAGGTGATAAGTGAAGATTTTGTAATATAATAAAAGAATAACCTGGAATGTAAGTGTGGATTCAAAGTTACTCCATGCAAACTACTACAACAAGCAAAACTCAACAATCCTTGTGGCACGGTTGTTATAACAAATGGTATCGCACCTTGTGATCGCCAAAAAGTAACCAATGTACAATCATTCTCCATTGGTTTATGCAAATATTTTGCAAGTCCAATAGTGCAATCATAACCTTTCACATAAAAAGATGGAGAACGATTATGTATACCAAACGTACATTTAATCATATTAGAGAATAACACAAAAAATATTAGACTCACGTAAAAATTTCCTTTCACGCTGAATGGCATACCAAAAAGTAGAGGTTTTCCAGAAATGTTATTCCATTGTGCATCCAAATTTTGCGCCTGCTCAAAAGATTCAGGAAGAAATTCGACAATACAGTTAACTTCTCTATGCACCATTTCAGCCTTCCAGACAAAAGCATTTAATACATCCGTAGCAGTTAAGGAATCATTTTGCAATTCATCTTGAAAAAAAAAAATTATCAGTTTTCTAAATGAATAATGATCAATCAATGAAGCAAAGCTATTCTACAAAGTTATGCATCATTTTCCGAAATTTTAATTAAACAATTGTAATTAGTGAAATTTAAAGCACAAATATTCCTCAAAATGGAACATTATTCGATATCTTTACTTTAATCATTTATCTATAAATTTTATTCAAAACCTACTTAGCATTTAATTTAGCACAAACCGGTATAGCAAATACGAAACATTTTGAATAAATCGTTTAATGTTTGATCAAATTTTAAAATGAAAATTAACAATAAAAAAAACAAGCAATAGTTTACCTCGTAATTCAAAGAAATTCAATGATAAAATGTACATTCTTTTCTGTAAAACATCCGGATCATTTGTGCTAACTCTTACATGAATATCATCAATGTGACGCTTTCGTTTAATCTCATTATCGTTAATCATTCGTTGATGAATCGAAACTGCACCCCATAGCTTCAAAATTTTAGAATGTAAATTTGAATTAAAGTTTTAAATTAAATAAAAATATGCATATGAATTGTTTATTATCATTATAGTTATACCGGATTTAAATAATTTCATGTGTAAATTGCAAGCAAAACGATGAATGGTACTGCCTAGAATGTGCAACCTTTTCGACGATAAGCTTGTAAATTGAATAGATGATAGCTATAATCCAAATGAAAATTATGAGAAATCCAGGTAAGGTGTACGGATATATCTGAACGATGCTCACCAAAATATTTCTCATTGGATAAAGTATTTATTTGTTTTACAACGTATCCCTTTCCAATGGCCTGCAAAAATAAGGAAAAAGAAAAAGCGACAAAAAAAAAAAATTTTAATCGAAAAGTTTTGGAAGATTAGAGAAAAAAAAACAAATATGCTGAAATTTCATATTGTCAAAAAAGTTTCAAAAATTTGAAAATCCCTCAAGCAAAAAAATTTGAGATTTTTGGCTTGGGTGGGAAAATTTTGGCCGAAAATTAAAAGCTGACATAGACATCCATAAATGGATGTAATTTCTTTGCCGGTAATATTTCCACTGAAAGTATCATAAAATATTTTTGCTGTTAATATGTAAATTTCATTTCTAACCTTGATTAAAGTTTAAATATGAGAATAATTTTTACTACAAAAAAAAAATATCCTGTCTCAAATATCTCGAATGCTTCCGATCTTGGCATTTTGCTGCGAAATAAATACGAATGAAAGGCGCTAATATTCGTCATAATTTACATATTGTTGAAAATATTCCATCATTTCATTGAAATCATCAATCTTAACCTCTTATGAGTAATGAGTAATTTCATAAGTTTTCGAAAAATTTTATATGAATCTGAGTGGAATCTAATTTGCTATCCTACAAAGAACAGGACTAAATTTCTAAAATTCAACTAAATCTTAATCAATAACATCATCTCAGAAACAATTGTGATGTTTTTAAAAACTTTAAACTGTCACCAAGAAAAAAAAAACAAATCGAAAAGCCTTCTCTCTTCCTGAAACTATCACTGCACTTCTCAACGACCATAAACCTGAATCCGTTCCGAACCCGAAAAACCGATTTTTATTTCAAATTTTGCTGGTGTAAATTTTGTCCTATCTATAAGGTTCCAGAATGATCTCACAATGAGATCAAAATCATTTTAAAAAAAATTCAAATTAAAGATAGTAAATCATTTTAGCAAGAAAAAATCCTAAATCATATTTCTATTGAGACTAAAAAACGAAAAAAAATCCTAATATTGAAATTATTTTAAATTGAGCAACATTGAATTTTGCGATTTTAGATTAAATTAGCAGTTCAAGTTTAGAACAAACTTTGAAACATTCGAAATTAAATTTCGGAAACCTTTGTGTTTAATAACAATGACATGAGTTTGAACAAAATAAATTTCTATTTCTGCTTAAGAAGTGATGTTTTCATAAAGCATAACTGACACACTACTATTATTAGAAACTGCAAAAAATTATAAATTTAAAATATTTCAAATTTGGATTTAAAATTTCACCTCGAATTCGAAATTACCTTTAAATCTGAAATTAGAATTTGGCCCATTCTTATAAATTCAGTTTAATCTCAATTGTTATATTAGAGCTAATAAATAACAGAATTGAAAATTGTGATTTTTTTTTCTTGGTATTTAAAAAACAATTTAAAATTCAATCAAATTAAAAAAAGCAATCATCACCTGCTTTTGTTTCTACAATATATGGCAAAATTTGCCATTTTGAGGAAAGTGATTTTATCAATTTAACTTTTTGGTCCTTTTCATCAAATGCTAGTGGTAAAATTATGCCCAGAATTTCAAACTTGTTGCTTTTTTTTTTCATTTCGATGCTAATTTTCTCTAAAACTTGAAGAAGTAGTGAGATTTATGATAGATTCTAAAAATAGTAGAAATAGATATTTTTAGTGAGATTTATGATAGATTCTAAAAAAAAATAGTAGAAATAGATATAAAAATAGAAATAGATATAATAGATATTATGACAGATTCTAAAAAAAATATTAGAAATAGATATTTTAAAAATAGTAGAAATATGTGTATCCGTATTGTCAATTCGGCTATCAAAAAATTCAAGAGCTCAAGATTCAATCATATTATTCGTCCATTGGAATCTTATTTTTTGCAATGTATTGTTA